AACAAAATCAGATTTTGATCTGCATGTTCCGTGGAGGAAAGAGAAAATGGAAGAGAGAAAAGGAAAGAAAAAAAAGAGAAAGGAAAAAAGAGAAAGTGACACATTTGTCTTTTTGTCAATAAAAGGTGGCTTTAATGCAAAAGAGAAGGGGAGAGTAGCACGCTTGTAAAAGTACTTTTGAGTGTGATATTTTTGCAATTGCCCTATAATTTATTTGTTTTATGATACGTTTTACAAAATTTAATCGATTTAAGAGTTTTAACCGAAATTTAGAGAACATATTTTTCCCATATAATCAACTACTAGATTTTGATATGCGCTCAAGCGCGGGATTAAATGATTAAATATGTTGACTAATCCATTTTTTAAAATAAAATTGTACTTTTGATCATGCATATGTTAATGACCATAAATTTTGATATTTTTACGGGTAAAATTGATGAAACCATATTCAAATGTTATTTATTTGAATATCTTTTAAATGTAAAATTATCTTCACAATTCGTGTAAATTATAGACCATACAATAAATCAGATCAACTTTAGTTTATATGAATTTTTCGGACATAATAAACAAAAAATATGTATTCTAATAATAAAATGTATATATATAGGTATTTGTGACTAAATATGTATCATAAACTATATTATAAAAAATAATTTTGTATATTTTGCTAATATAAATACATACATACACAATATATAATTTTTTTATAAGTATAATAATAAAAAGCATGTTAATATATTAGAAACCAATAAAAAGTAGGGGATAATTACAAAAATGTCACTTTTTGTGTGCAAATTTATAAGAATGTCACTTAAGGGTGTCCATTTATAAAAATGCCACTAATTATAGATTTATAAAGCCTGTATCTTAAAATTCTAAACTCTAAAAAATGTTTTGACACCTAAAACCTTCTAAACACTCAAAACTAAATTCTAATATAACATAGTTAACCCAAACATAAATTATATAATGAAAAAATAATTTTGAAAAAGTGGCATTTTTGTAAAGATTTCAAAAGTGTGATATTTTTGTAAAGTGGCACTTGGAAAATTACATTTTTTGAAATTTCTCAAAAAATAGATGAGATGATAAATTTAATATGTTACATTAAGTTGAGTTTAAATTTGTAAAATATTTATTAATGAATTTATGTTATAATATTAATGAGAATATGTAGAGATTTTTATAATGGCATGTAGATTTAAATGAAATGTTTTGATTGGTTCAACTTCAATGATATATTCCTTAAAATCTTTTTTGAATGACACATATGATGTTTTCACCTAGTATCTTTTCAATTAATATATATAGTTAGTACATCATATAATTAATTATTTTTATTAAAATAAATTAATAATACATGAAACTAGTTCCGACTTTTTCATTAGCCGCTAGGGCCAATCTGAACGACCGACAAGCTCTTAGAGAAATTTTGAACATCGGTTACATATATAATTAATAACACATGCATC